CCCACCCTCAGCTATTCCGACCATGAGCACCAACCCTTCTTGCCCATCCTTCTACCTCACCCTCAACTACCATCCTTGTTCCCAAACAGCCGTTGTTCAGCCCCAACCCTTGTCCCCATCCTCAACCCCTGTGACTCAACACCCACCCTTGTTCTCCACCCTCAACATCAACCCTTGTTCCCAGCTCAGCTGTGCCCCTCAGCCCCAACCCTTGTCCCCATCCTCAACCCCACCATTGTCCTCCAATCCTAATACAATCTTGGAATTTATTATATTGATATTATATTATTATCATTTATAGTGTGACATACCTCTGCCCCACCACCATCCCCACCCATGTTCAAACTAAAGGGTAGGCCTTTATCAAAATCACCACCCTTGCAAATGTCTACAATTTATAAAAAATCCCAATCAAATTAGTTTAAACATTATCATTTATTGTTCAAAACCAAGACATAACATTATTTTTTTCAGATTTAAAGACTTGTTTGTGTTGTATTTAAGCATCAGCTTTGAAAAAATTCAGCACATAAACCAATCATTGACAAATTTTCTGTTTGTAATAATATTACCATTAACATGATTGCCTCTGCAAATGATTTCCTCCTTGTGGGCCTGGAAGCTCCTACCTGTCTTAATTGCTGAGTGAGTAGCATCCCACCTGTTGTGCCCCACCACCCTGCTACAGAGGAGGAGATGGGACCCCCCACATGCATCCACATGTAAACAGCAGCACATGTAGACAGCTTGATCACAGGGAGGGAGAGGAGGTGTCTTGTGCACTGTCTTGTGGGTGGGGATTACTGGTTACTGGTGAGGTAATCATGACCACCATCTTATAACACGGCTATATTTCATAGCTGTTACAGAAAACTTATCCGCCTTAATTGTCAGTATGGAAGCTGATTCACATTAATTTTTTACTCATCAACATAAATTGTTTTGACTGTTAAAAGTTAATTAGGATGTTGGAAAATTATGAAAAATGATTTTACGAAGTTAGAGATAAACTATAAGGGTGTCATCTTTCTCCATGTAATTTGCCTCTGGACTTGAAAGTCATATTGTCAACATCATAAGAGAGTCGTAAAAGAGATTAAATTTGTAAAACTGTGAGTGTTGTACCAGCTTGCCTCCTTGAGCATTTGGCAATGATATCCTGGTACCGTGATCTGGGAGTCTGCGGCCACCATTACCAAGAGGTGCTACGGGAAATGAGACAGTTGTATTTGTTTGTAGTTCTGGTGGTATATTTACCGAGTGAGGATCATACACCTAGGAAAACAAGTTGAGCACATCATTACTTTGAGGTTCCAGTTTAAAAGCTCAGATTGAATTTAGGTCTAGGAGTTCACAATGTTCTTGTTAGCGGCCATCTTGGATGTGATTTTTTCCTCTTTCTCTCTTTTGTAGGTAATCTTGAAAGTTGAGAAAGACCTGGCTATGTCGTGTTATGCAGGTTTCTGTAAACTGTCAATAAACTGCACCTTGGTCTTTGTTGTTACGATTAACGCCAGACTTGTTTTGTCCTGTAGGTGTGGGGGTAAAGACATTGCTCCATTACTGCACAGCCACCAGTGACAGTTGCACTGCTTCTAATATACTTCATAAGCAGCTCTATGTTGTTGTTTTTTCAGTGGTACTTCAGTACGTTCATATTATTTTCACTGCTATTTTTCTTTTACTCACAGTGGAATGTGTTTTTCATTTCAAGACTGGTGATTGTGTGGCATTGATGGTATACATGTTGAATTCACATGTGATTGATGCTCCTTTACTTTCCTGGCATTATATAGTACATGATATCATCATTGGTCATTGTCAAGTCAAGTGAGTGAGTGAGTTGGGTTTTACACCGCTTTTAGCAATATTCCAGCAATATCATGGCAGGGAACACCAGAAATGGGCTTCACACATTGTACCCATGTGGGGAATCGAACCTGGGTCTTCAGCATGAGGAGTGAACGCTTTAACCACTAGGCTACCCCACCGCCCCCTTTTCAAGTCAAGCATTACTGTATCTCAGAGTAAACTATGGATCAATATTCTGAAATTTGCCACATCATTACTGAAGAATTCTACAAAACAATGAGCCTCACAGCTATGGCTGTAATAGATTGATCTCCAAGACAAACAAATAGGCCAAAATATGTACTGATAGCTTGCCGATATTGAGACAAACCAGTGATCAGTATTATCAGCAACACTCTGTAGTGTTGGGGTGCAAAGTAGTGTTGGGAATTGGTTGCTATCTCACAATTGATGATTGCTTCATTATCAACGAACAATCATCGAAAAAATTTGTTAAAAGGCCCAGGTCCCCTTCCAGCTGATGATCTTTCTGTGATTGTCGATAATATATGTGAAGTCTTGTTGGTAAATGTCATGTTTTTAAACCAACTACATCATACATGCATTTTTAGGTTGTTACTGTGAATGCTATGTCTTATGTTAATCTGATGGGAAATATTAATCTATATCAATGACAGTTACGTCTTCTAATTGTGAGTGAGTGAGTTTAGTTTTACGCCGCTTTTAGCAATATTCCAGCAATATCACGGCGGGGAACACCAGAAATGGGCTTCACACATTGTACCCATGTGGAGAATTGAACCCAGGTCTTTAGCGTGATGAGCGAACACTTTAACCACTAGGCTACCCCATCGACCCTCTTCTAATTGTGAATGGGAGTACTACATTTATTCTCTTAATTGCATGGACGTAATGGAGACTTGACATGCATGATGTTTATTCATGCACACATACAATGTCCTTTCTTTTAGGCTCATTCACTGTGAGGAGGAATGGAATCGGCATTTTGTCATGTTTATAGCTTTAAGCCAGTGCTGTGAAACTTAATGAAGCCAATAAACCATGTATTTAATGGAAGGAATTTATTTTCTAGATATATCAGTGACTTGCCTTCTGGTGTACTGGTTGATGAGGACCACTGAATAATCCACCACACTTCTGTTTAACCCCAGGGCAGTTTAACACCTCCTCTATCACATTCAGTGGCACCTAGCTACACACTCTTCAGTATTGTGACATACCAGCGGACAGGGTCATTGTGAGATATTACTATATCACACTGCCTTCTCTGCCTGCCCGGACATCAAGGGTATTGTGTCCATATCAACTTATCATTGCACAATCAATCTAAGAAAGTCATGGGTATTGTGTCAGAGTTTACTTACTTCACTATCGAGGGAAGACATGGGTATTGTACCAATTCTATCCAGTGTCTTCACAGGTACATATTGTTAACAGGAAATTCCAGGATTGATTATCTTGTGATAATAAAAAGTCTTTGACAATCGTGCTGGTTTACATCGAGACACAGACAGATATGTCCTGATACGAGTCATATCTCCTTCTCCCCAGGGTTATGTGATATTAATACATAACACAGTCTAATTTTGAACACAATGCAATTTACAGTTCAGCTGCTTCTCACAGCAGTGCAGTGGTCTGATCCACCCTAATTATGATCCTCTGCACTGATCAAAATTAAGCATGGAAATCAAGGGGTCACTATAATAACGGGGCGGTGGGGTAGAGTAGTGGTTAAAGCGTTCGTTCGTCACACCAAAGACCCGGGTTCGATTCCCCACATGGGTACAATATGTGAAGCCCATTTCTGGTGTCCCCCGCCGTGATATAGCTGGAATATTGCTAAAAGCGGCGTAAAACTAAACTCACTCACTCACTATAATAGCACCAATAATATAAGGTAGAGGACACCTGATGATATAACTGGAATACTATTCACAGCACTGTTGAACCAAGGTGACATATTCACTATAAGATCGAGGTGTAGATGGTCACCAGAATACCATAGAAGACATTAGAGACCTGAGGATCCCTTTAATTTGAACACTGCAGTGTTTGTAGTAATCTGTACCAAACCCTGCCCATGAAGATCACGGTTAGAATTCATCTTCAGTAACCCATGAAGATCACGGTTAGAATTCATCTTCAGTAACCCATGCTTGTCGTAAGAGGCGACTACAGGACCGGGTGGTCAGGGTCGCTGACTTCGTTGACACATGTTATCATATCTTAATTGTGTGTATCAATGCTCATGCTGTTGATCACTGGATTATCTTGTCCAGAATCGACTATTTATAGACCGCAGCCATATAGCTGGAATATTGCTGAGTGCATTGTTGAACAACAAACAACCAAACCAAACTAGTAAAATTTATTGTCAATATTTGAACTACATTAGTTTAGTATCTAGGCCAAAAGAAACTTTTCTGGATTCGGGCTGTAACCTATTCTCTGATTATACTTAAAATATAAGCTTTTTTATTTAGAAATTAGAAAGGAGCCCCAGTGATATGGGAATTTAGAAACTGCTGAGAAATCTTATAATCATATCATTACAGTAAGACTTTGTAGAAGGGAACATCTGGTTCAGGGACAGTGAATTGTTGTGTTGCGACTGAAATACTGTGAGAAGAGGCTTGAACCCATCTCACCCATTAGCAGACTGCAGGGGACTAGGGCTGTTCCTCTAGACATTGTTACCCCAGCAGAGTACCGTCGCTTAATGCATTACCTCCACTGCACTGTGTGATGAGGAGTTGATTTGATACTTGACTGTTCCACACTAGGAAGGGGAGACAGCAAGCTGGGCTGCAGCTACCGCTGTATTATTACCAATACAGCCAATTACTCCCATTTTGTTTCAGAAATGATGATCCTAATATGTGATAGTGTTGAACATGCATGCCATATCAGTAAATTAATGCCGTGTATTAATCATGCTGTGCCCCTAGAACATGAGATATGATTTCTTGATTATGTGGAAGTAGGGACTGGTTTTTAAGGCAGACTGTGTGATTATTGTTATTTGCTTCTCCTTGCCAAATTTATCTACGGGACAGAGCCGAGTGGAGCCGCTCACAGCTTGTGTGTGCCGTTAATTGTACCTGGCCTACCTAGCTGGTCCTCATTAACTTGTTGAAGTCACTGATCTATATTCTCTTTCACAGATGATTGCCGGGACTCCAGTGAGGAGGAGAGAGCATGGAGGGTGTGAAGAGGATGAGGGGCAATAGGGGTGACGGCTGGGAGAAGGGGGGATGCAAGATGAGGGATACGGAGATGGGAGCAGTGCAAGACGATGTTGACGACAAGATTCTCGTGACAATTGATACAATAGAAACATGGATTTGGGACGAGGGATTAGATGGCTTGTGACTGAGAAACTGGGAAAATGAAGATTGAAGATGTCAAATGGCTTTACCTGATTGGCGCATGGAGGAGAGTCTTAAGGAGGAAGGAATGAGAGACTACCTGTGGAGGAAGAGACAGAGTAGGTGGAGGGTGATGGATGATGTCATCCTAAACAGGGAGGTCGATGAGGTCGGAATGATGTTAAGTTATCATACAATGCTCTGTATTGTTTACAGAACAATTCCCTGACTTTCAGTTGTTGAATTTTGACCCATGGATATTGACTTGAATGTTAGTCACATACTTCACAGACACATTTAGCCATGTAGAGTTTCATTGTCACATTATCAAGCATGGTGATGGAGTGGATAGACTACTGTGATCGGTCCACGATTCTTCCAGGTAGGGTGGGATCTCAGAAACCTGAAATACATCTGTGTTATATCTTGTAAGTAGAATTTAATGAAAACATCAGTTTTATTGTAAAAACAGAAAACATTGACAGTAGGCTGTTATTCATAGAAGACACTAGAAGAAAGGGTTTCAAGAGGATCTCTGAGAAAATGGTGAAAGCTGAAGACATGATTCAAGAAAAGAACACTTCTGACAGAGGAGAAAATATATGAAATAGTCAAAGCTTCAAGGAAGAGGAGAAGAGAATGCTTTACAAGAGTTGATGAAAGGGATGATGAATTGGTGCTGTGAAAAAAGCAGGGGGTGGTATTAGAAGTGAAACTGAGTGAGGGTATGAGAAAGAGAGCGTAGGATCAGGAGTAGTCTGTCTCACAGTCCCTGAACCACATTATTTTCCCTACTGCCAAGCCCTCTCTGCAGTGCTAAAGCCCTAAATAAAGCAAGTCTAGATTTCCTCAGGTTCTGAATCTCTGGTCTCCCTGGGGCTCCTTTTCAATTTAAATGGGCTTGTTTGTTACTATCAAAATTATATATATTTAGAGAGTAAGCATTAGTCTAGATCAGGAGAAACAGGGGGATATGAGAAATTAAGGGGTATGGAAAAATGGAGGGAGTTGTTATGAGATATGGTGGGTGTTGTGAGAAATGGAGGGGTATTAGGAGAAATGGAGAGGGGTGGTAGGAGAATTGGAGGGGGGTGGGACTGGGTGAGAGGGCATCTCGCCAGCATCAGCAAGTTGTGGCTCCAGCTAGTCAAGGGTGGGATGTTGGCAAACAAAGTCTAAGGAGCCCCGACCGCCAGTGCTGATCACCTCACAACTGATCACCCTCTCAAACACACGGCTGTCTAGGCAGACTCTCTATTGTGAAGGAGTGCCCTTTAATTTGCTGCTTGTCTTGTTTTGTTTTTGCATCAAATGAAGGGGGACCAGATAACAGGGGCTGGTCGGAGACTGGATGGAGGCAATTCGGGATTATGTTTTCCTGTTTGTAAATAAATAACGCAGACAGTTTTATCTGGAGTCTGATCTGGAGGCAGAAGGAGGCTGGAGGATGATATTCACAGCTGAGATTGTGTGTAGAGAGGATCAGATAGAATGCTTTGATTTATCTGTAAATTAAGATTGTACAAACAACTTTTGTAGAGATCGTTAACAGTTGTGTATGAAAGTGTATATTTTGTATTAATGATACAAGAGCTGGGTCTTTGTACTGATAGTGGAAGATAATAGTCTGAAACTCTTCACTTCATTTCTTCAAGGTGCTTTCTTCATGTCAACTTGTGCTAGACTTTCAGTTGTGTTTGCTTTTGAGATAATCAAACTTTCTACATATTTTAAAGAGAATTTGACTTAAATGAAACATTTTCAACAAAATCTTGACATCTTTTTTTTTCAAATTAGTTGCTTTTACTTTTCTGTGGAATGTTTATCAGTATCAGCTGTTAGTTTCTTTTTTTTTTAATACCTCATTGAAAGGTGTCTATAGGTGAACTAGAATTTACAGATAAGTTCTCCCATAGTGGAGTGATTGACCCTTTTGAAGTATCACATAGATTCTCTCAATCCTGAAAGAAATTCTGTAATAAGAGGGTGTTGAGTTTCCTTGTTCCGATGTGTAAAAAAGTCTACCAACTTGCATCCTGTTTTGAGCTGCTGTTTCGTAGATATTTTTTTCTCAACAGGCTGACAGAATTCTATTAATCCTTAATTGGACACACTTCATTTTCGTGGAAGTGGTCAGATAGCATGGAAGTTTTGTTGGAAGTCCCATCTCATCAGTTTTATCTGCTTGTCAGATTACCCTCAGGCAGTTCTATAATTATGTCCTCAACAGCTAGAACATCACACGGATCTACATTCAAACTGTCCTGAACCGAAGAATCTCTTGCCAATTATCTGGGAAATTGTACTTTGTGCTTTTTCCATGTGCTTACTTTGTTGATATTTTTTTGTCTTGATTGATTTTTCTTTACAACGTGTTAGTTTCAAAATCACTTATGGAACTTATGGGAAGTGATATTAGTTTGTTTGAGTAGCATCAGACTATGATGTTGGTTTTTTGCCAAATGTTATTTTCAACCTGATACCAGTTGCCTTGGATCTTTAAGAAAATATGACAAATTCATTTTCAGTTTTAAAAAACTTATCAGCTCTCTTTTTGGAAAAAAGTAATTCTATCTAAATGTCTATATCATATCTATATAATTAGGAAAAAAACACAAATATATGAATTTAATTTTTCTAATCTTAATTTAAGATAAGATGTGATTAGGGTCAGGAAATCTTAAAATTTGTCCAGGAGCCGAAAGCATTCCTCAAAACTACTGAATATGGAGGGAGGTGTTGTGAGCGAGGGAAGGGTGTGAGAGAGGGAAGGGCTGATCCTGCTGTAAGACCCTCCCTCACACAAAAACACTGACTACAGTATGGATTCATGCACTAATTGATTGGAGAAGGGAGAAAAGTACAAATTACACTGTTGTAGCGTGCTAATTTGCTGTAATTACAGGGCTTGTTGGGTCGACATTTTGTCAGTGGCTGGAGACTGTGAGTCGGAACGGTGGTTGAGGCTTCAAATACTCCACTCCCTGATGTTTACCCTCCTGTATTTACACGAGAACGACTCGATTGCTCTCGCCACTGATATAGTCACTTCATCCCATCTTTGACCATCTGGATGAATCGTTGAGATAAGCAGCTTTGTTCTTGCTAAACTGTCCTACCGTATTCTTCCCAATAGGTGAGTCTGTTAAAAGAAGTGAGACAGGAGCTCCTCTCCCATGGTAATATACCCAGTACAGTATTCTTCCTAACAGGTGCTCCTAAATGAATCATGAAGATAACTAGTACTGTATTCTACCCAACAGGTGCCCTCATGTCAAACATTGAGAAACATGCGCTCCCAACAAATGATGGTGACAAATATTCTACCCAACAACTGCTACCCATTACAAATTTATCTCCTACCTTCAAACAGGATGACTACCACCAAAATAATTTGCAGTCCTAGACATTTTGATTTAAGTCATACTAGTTATGCTAAACACTCTGTGTGCAAACTAAACCTAATAACGTTTATCGATCTAAGGTTAAACAGCCACCCCAATTACACAGAAACCAGTTTTCAAAGTGTCCAGTCATTAAATACAGCATCTATGTTGAGAGTTGAGAGAATCATCCCTGTGAATAATCTGAGGATGCTCACTGGGTCGTTTACGGTATGACAGTTTCATTGTCATCCATAGTTTGTACAGCCACTTATGTCTGAACAACTGTTCATTTGATTCGAAATTTTCTAAAGATCCCTGTCAATACTGGAGACAATGTATTGTGAAAGGATTCTAATAAGGAGCTCTGATTAACACATCTCCATTACATTTTCTTCCTGGAATGTTTTTTTCTTTGATTTCAGGATGAGTATTTGTTAGGCCCCTGTTTGTGATATTTCCCCTATAATTTAGTTGTGTTTCCAGTTTTTGTGAGCTATGTCTCATAACTTTGATGCAGTTTAGAGTCCATTGAAAGTTCCAAGGAGCACACCCATGAAACTTACCTTTTTTCAAGAACAAATTATCTTCTCTCTTTAATTTTTGTCACAAAACAATGAATTTGAGTGAGACCACCCGGAAAGTTCCAACATTATGAGAGAGGGAGAGAGGGAGCAATGTTGAGACATTTAACCCGGATTTAGTAGATAGCCATTGGAATCTCGACACTAATTCGTTAACATTGAAAACATGAGGATAAATGGCAGAATGGTGTTATTGACTACTTGTTATGTTAGACTTCAAAGGAAACAGTCTACTTTTTGTAGGGTATTATAATTATTTTACACGTAAATATAATTGTATAATCATCTGGTGACGGAAATAGGTTTATGAACGGACATGATGCTGTTATGTTTAAAGTGGAATTTCACAGAAACGACTTAACATACATCGTGTATTAACTCTCATTTTCTTCGTTGAGTAGAAGACATTGTTGAATAGTGTTAATGAGATTTAGGACTACATGGTGCACTTGCCCTATCCCATAAAGCCATCTTAGTACAACTAACTGTAGTCTAAACACTACAATCTCATTGAGAAACAGTGAGTGAGTGAGTTGGGTTTTACGCCGCTTTTAGCAATATTCCAGCAATATCGTGGCGGGGACACCAGAAATGGGCTTCACACAATATACCCAAGTGGGGAATCAAACCCGAGTCTTTCATATTGCTGTAATATTGCTAAAAACTGCATAAAACCATACCCGCCCACTCACTCACTCACTCCATGTAATATGATCCATAACAGCTGATAATGAAACTTAGTTTGTGTTTTGTAATTGTATTGTTTCGTCCAAAGCTGTATTAATTGTTGAAGTAGTATCTGTAGTCATAAGGAAAACATTTTCATATTTCATATTTTCCTTTTGTCAATGACAGATTTATTGACATATTTTTGTGTTCTTTACAAGCCAAGTTCCAGTCTAGTAATGTATATCCCAAAACCATTCCATACAAATAATCAAATGTTTGTTTTCAAGATTGTAAAAAATGATATTTCTGTTTTAACCATGGACGTAGTGACGTTCACAGACAATTCCATGATGTGCATGATGTGTTACCCTACTTATACTTGTCATTCCATCTGTTCTTACAAACGGTCACATTCTAATGAGTAAAAGGAATGAAAGATTATCAAATTATTTATGTATACTAGTATATGTTGACGTTTTTTTTTGTTATAATTTTATTGGTAATTATTGACTGTTTTAGTTTAATTGCTTTACTTTTTCTCCACATTTCTTGAAAAACGTTTTATGTCATTAAGATCAAAATAGTAATAAGTAGGCTATCACTGTCATTCATAAACAGAATCAAACCAAAACCGATTTCTCTGATGTAACCAGAAGGTGATGAGATCACAACTGCTTCATTTTATATCCTTAATAGTTTACTGTCTTACATTAAATATCAAAAGGAGGTGAGGTAGCCAAGTGATTGTAGCACTGACATGCAGAAAATCAACGTTCGATTCTCGCCATTAGTACAATTTGTGAATCGTTTTCTGGAGTTCCTTTCCATGATGTTACTTGAATATTGCTGATAGCTGCGTAAAACCATACTTACTCATTCTACAAAGCAAAGACGTCATACTGACTGACTGACTGAGTTTGGTTTTACGCCGCTTTTAGCAATATTCCTGCAACATCACGGCGGGGAACACCAGAAATGGGCTTCACACATTGTACCCATGTGGGGATTCGAACCCGGGTCTTCGGCGTGACGAGCCAACGCTTTAACCACTAGGCTACCCCACCGCCCCTAAAGACGTCATAAGTGACACTTATCAAGGATGTATTGAATGCACCTGTGAGTGCAGATTTGTTTTGTTTGTTTCTGTGTATATTATACAGGTTGTGCTTTATTTACAAACTCTCTCTATATATGTTTTATTACATTTTGTTGTATATTGCCCTATAGGGAAGGCTTTCATCAAAACCCGCTAAACAAAGATATTATTAGCATGGAATTTTGCATGCAGAAGTTGTGAATAATAGAATATGGAATTGTTTACTCCAACAGGTGGAGTTGGTAGAATAGTGTAGAATATGTTATTTTCCTATGGTTGTGTGTAAATATGTGTATAGAAACACTGTATAGTGTCAGACTGCCTTATGTTAGTATTGAAATGGCAGAGCTGGGAACATGTTTGGAAACTGTTCTTGATTGTACATAAGCACACTGATCAAGCAGTGAAACATACTCATGTTCATAGAGCACTGTTTTAAATGCTATGTGAATTGCAAATGAGCACTTTGATCAACGAGTTACAGCCGTGACAGATATGACAATATTGCTGACAAATGGATTGTTCCTTTTGAGGTTGTGTTTGATCGACCAGTGAGAATGTTTTTGTTTACAATCAATAATCACATCAGGTTTGACAACATTGATGTTTAAATATTACTATGCACATTATCTCACAGTAATGCTGAACAGAAGGTGGAATGTTCTGTAATTTCATGACATTTTTATACTTGGCAAGGGTAAATGAATGTAAACGAATAATGGGTAAATGTGATGGGGTAAATCTCGCCCTAAAGTTAACATGTTCAGTTTGTATTTGTGAAATATTCATTCAGGTATCATGCTCTTATGATGTACAATATTTATTAAAAAATATTACAACTAAAATTATTTAGAAAGGCAAGCAAAAATCAATTTGAAACACTGGCCCTAAATGCTTCACTGATTGGAGGATGGTGTAGCCTAATGGTGATGTGACTCTTAACATGGGTTCACTGTGTGACCTTCAGGTCTCTCAACCTGATATTCCTGGAATATCAATAATAACAGCATCAAACCCAACTCACTCACTCACTCTCAAGACAACTGTTCTGAGTCAATCACTGGATTGTCTGGACCACTCAATGATTTACAGACTGTCGGCATATAGCTGGAAAAATAACAAAACCTGCTCTGCTTGCTGCTGACAAAGATGCATCCATGTGCTGAAATTTCTCGCACTAACAAACCCTCCATATCTGGATGCTCCCTGTCATGCTTTCATCAGTGTTTGCAGGTTCTGTCTTGACTGGCACAGATTAATGTGATTCATATCTCGGGATGCAGATATGATACCACTCAATCAGCTGAGTCAGCATATGCTGCAGGTATCGAGGTTTGCTTCAGGGAAGGGGTATGTCTGTTATATCATTAGCTGCTATTGTATTAAGTGTGCACTTATTCATTTATTCGGTACGACAGACATGTGTATCACACCACCCACTGCAGACCAGCTGTCATTGGTTCATGCAAGTTGCAAAAAAACTGATCAAACTATTTTGAATGTTTAGAATTTATAAATTGTGCTGTATGTTGCTCACTCATGTGTAGACTAGGGCTGAGACACTGCTGTATAGTATGATAACATAAGCATTGAGATACCTGATTCACTATAGCATGCATACCACTAGATATTTTGTCATAGCATGGAGAAAGTTTAACCGGTTTTCTAAAGTAAAAAAAAGTTTTTCCAAATTATCCTTGATGTACCAGTAATTTATACTCCCATTCAATATAAATACTGTGGACCCCTTGCTCCCATAGGTTTGTTTTGAAAGTGACATCATGTCAGTGCTGCCTAACAGCTTTCAAAAGAATTTCTGTCATACCTATGTACATGTACTTTCATTGGACAGCTATTTATCACATTGTTTTGATTGAATCCAACTCCAAACGAAGGTTTGGTATCAAGATTGCCCAACGTATTCATTATCATATGTATGTGATACAGACATATTGTCCATCAGTATGATCGTATGGAAATTCACACATGATGTTTTACAGTGTGATGTTTGGCATCAATGGATACTTCCAGCCTTATTGTTGAATGTCTTTGACTGTTAGGTACTGGTCTGTCAGTGACATAATGACACAGTGTTACTGCTTCTAACTGCTACAAGTCTCATGTTTGTCACATAGATACCTTCTGTTATATTTCCTTCATCTTTATTAAATGATTTGTTGAACGTGAAAACATTTATTTTATAAGAATGTTAATTTCTTGATGAAGAATATGTTGTTTGTGTGAATGTGGAAATGGCAAGTGATCAAAGTTTATGATCGACTGAAACTCAGTAGTGTGAAAATTATCTTACAGATAGATACTTTCCTCAAAGTTATTTATGTCATCCCATAGTGGGTGACTGTAGAACTCCTGTATAGTGGAGGAGATTATTGGAAAAGCATGTGTTGGAGATGTTAATGGTCCTATCCACATGTTACACTTGACTTGCCTTGACGTCCTACATTCAGCTGGAGGTGCTATACCATTGTTCTTCACAGCTGAGCAGGATGTTCTAGTGTCACACATCAACCATCCTCGATAATCTCCAGGGTATACGTTATGATAAATCTCCACCAACGAATCAAGGGTATAACCTGGAGATTATTGAGGATGCACATCAACATGTATATAAAGAATACCGGACTATCTCAGCCATGTTCAGATATGTTGACAACTGTGTAAAGGACACATTCTCTGTTTGTTTGATGTACCATGAGAATGGTTTGTTAGTATTCCAACATTGTTATAAGTCAGAAAACCCTGAAGGCCTTGGCCAAAGTGAGCTATTACAACACTGAAACCAGTGAACAGTTGCAGTATTCCAACCTTGTCCACCATAGCATCATTTCTGTCAGGTTCCAGGGGCGGTGGGGTAGCCTAGTGGCTAAAGCCTTCGCTCGTCAAGCCGAAGGCCCGGGTTCAATTCCCCAGATGGGTTCAATTCCCCACATGGGTACAATGTGTGAAGCCCATTTCTGGTGTCCCCCGCCGTGATGTTGCTGGAATATTGCTAAAAGCGGCGTAAAACCCAACTCACTCACTCTGTCAGGTTCCAGCTAGATGAGCTCAGCAACAGTTCAACCAGGTGTGCCGTAGCCACACTCCTGGCAGATGAGCTACAGCTTCATCCTTGTCATGTGTGCTAGAGTATCATTTACCCTCCTAATTTAGGGAGGTATATTTTGTACGTAAAATAGAGTCAACTGTAGATTTAATGAAAAGTAGACTTTAGATGCAAATAGGTTCAAAATTGTAGAAATATTGCCAATATGTACTCCCGCAATGGTTATCAACATATCCCATGTGAATCGTTTTGTTGAAAAAAAATCTGTTTGACTTTGGTATGTTGGGAGCTGAGTGTATTGTCTCATGTGCTTTGCATTTACTAACAAGGACAAGTTCTTAGTTTGTTGGTTAGTATCTTGTATATTCACGAATACCAGCTGATTCAGAGTGCTACGTTTGTGACAGCAATGTGAGCTGTACCTGCCCTGCTGTATTACTTATATTGTTATGTATTTATCATGCTGCAGAACGCACTGTAGATATGCGACCCAGTATCTGAGGCAATGGTGAGAAAATAAACAATGTCATAACTTACCTTTGTCTTGTTGTCTTATCATATGTGATTCTTGATTCTGGTTGTTCTTTGGGCGGTAGGGTAACCAAGTGGTTAAAGTGTTCACTCGTCACACCGAAGTCCTGGGTTCGATTCCCATCATGGGTACAATGTGTGAAGCCTGTTTCTGGTGTCCCCTGCCGTCATATTGCTGGAATATTTTCTAAAAGTGGGGTAAAGCTAAACTCACTCACTCACTCTGGTTGGTCTTGTAAGGGTCTGGAAGATGGCATATGTTTTTAAACTGATTACCCAAGTTCCACACACAATGGTCACCAGTAATAAAGGAATGTCTCCCTGGTACAGGTGATACAGCGTCTTTCAGAAGGAGCAGATGGTCTGTGGCTTGACCCTGGTCGCGTCATACCAGAAGATTGCTCTCGTTGTTGCCCTGCCTTGAAAATGGCATTAAGAGTATAAACAAAGACTCGATGTGGGTATACCGTGTCTGAGAGTGGTGTCCGTGTTTAACTGTGACTGTCTGTGTGGACTAGCACTATCAAACCGGCATGGGTCCAGACTTGTGCAAGCAGCCGAATCGCGCAAAAACTTACACCCAGTGACACGCACGCATGCACGATCACGTACATACACATATATACCTGCAATGATCTTGAACCCAACTCTATGCTAACCCCCGTTTGACTCGACCTCACTTAAAGTGAAGTTTGTTTCTTGTTCAACGCGGCGGGAACAGGTCAAAAGGGCCAAAGGACAAAAGGGCCAAAATTGAAAAAGTCAAAAGGGCCAAAGTAAAGTCGAAAGGGCCAACAGAAAGTCAAAAGGGCCATAGACGTCAAAAAGGGCCAAACTTTTAGAAAAGAGTAAGATTAAAAGAAATTCAATACATGCTGTTGCAGTAGTTCTTATTCTAAACATCCTACATACATCAGAGTGCCTCAGTGTTGGCAGTGTTGGTTAACAGCAGTGGTTAAGTGTTTATGTTGTGAGTATAGTCAACCATACAACTGTTTCTGTAATGATTACAAGAGGTTTAAACAGAGTCATGGGTGTCAGACACTAGTCAGTAATCAAAACAAGATTAATGTTTTAATTTGTTGTGAGGTTTAAACAGAGTCATGGGTGTCATTAATCTAATTAGTTGTAATTGGTCTGATGACTCACAATGCTATATTAGACAAACATTTCAACCACCAATTCATACTGGTAACCATGCCTGTAAAGTGTGTTGCCTGTGACAAGACTGTCAGGAAAACCAACATGCCCTGGAGTGCCCTGAATCTATGGCAATACCATGTCAGTGGAATGATTGCAGTGGAATGTGTATGATAATGTGTCTAGTGATGATCTGTGGTGAACTCTGAGTGAATTGTGAACATTTGAACCGCTTGAACCACCATTTGAACAATTGAACCACTCAACTGTCGAGTGTATGATGATCACACTAAAAATTATTACTTTTGTTCCTATTTACATATTGAAACAAATACAAATATAAATAATAATAATAATAATAAATATTAATATAATTAAACAAAATATATATTTATTTGTATGTTCTTTTTTTACTTATGGCCCTTTTGACTTAAGTCTATGGCCCTTTTGTCTTTCCGTTGGCCCTTTTGACTTTTTCAATTTTGGCCCTTTTGGCCTTTGGCCCTTTTGACTACAACCCAACACGGCAATGTCCCTGCTATATGCTGATCGCGGAAAGAACATGTCTGTACATGTTATAATTTTCGCTAGCGGGCACCTGGTAAGTTCATTCATAAAACAAATATCTGTTTCAATTTCGAGCGAAGCTTGTGTTAATTAAACCAGTGTACCAATACCAGTGACTGGGTGTGAATGAGTTAAACGCAGATTTGAGTAGTATTTCAGCCTGTTAGTTTAATCTTAGAAGAAAGAAGAAACAGGAAATGATGTAGGTGTTAGATGTTCAAAACTTTCTTGAATCTAGTAATATGGTGGTATGGTGCTGATAAATGAAGAAACATTTTTAGGGGGAACCGAATTCGAACCCACGATAATACCCTAGTGACGTGTATGTCGTGCCTTATACTACTTGGCCACCTGTGTCACGACAGCCAATAATTGGACATGAAGAATGGTTGTGGTACATTGGCACTTAGGTTAGTGCACGTAACGATTTCTTGCAAACTGAATGTGCAATACGAGCCATAACAAACAGTATACCATACCAATCGGGTAACAGCGCTATTATTACTATTATCCAACCCTAGAATCATTATCTAGGCTAATCAGAGAATCGAACCAACTATCACTGTAGAGTATTTAAGTACGTCTGTAGTTTGTCCTCGTCGACCTCCTATCCTGACTCTTGCTTGATGTTTAACCCACTGGATGCATTGTGAACGAACGCTGACAATGATATATGGTCGGAGTATTGATAACGTTGTTACACCAGCCATTCTCTTAATCAGCCGACGTTCATGCCAACTGCCTTGCGTCATATCTCGGAGAACTTGCTATTCTGTAGAACGTTGATATTCTTTTGCAATTATTACCTACATCTCTGAGAGGGTTAGAAACGTGTTACAATTTGTTGTGGCATTAATCATGACATATTTATGGCAGAACAAACCAAATGAAGCAGACACATCATTTTCTTTTACGCTGACTTGAGTTATACGTTCCTCAAGAGCCAACATGTTACCAAATACCGATCTACGTGATCCAGAACCTTGAGAAACAAAATGATTAAAGTTATTAACGTTTATGTGAACGCATCTTTCCGTACATTGAAACGGACGGATTTTTGAAAATGACCTTGTAGACTTCATGGCAAATACGAACTCAAGCAGCTTGTTTGACGTTAGCCATGTCGACCCTTAGAGCGTTTCAAGGTCATCTTGGCAGGGACACCAAAGTCTGTCAAAGTTCATCTATTGGTTATGTGTGAAATATATGTCTGGAATGTCTGCAGCATATGTATGATATATATACTCATGCCAATAATGGTTGTCACCCCCCTTCAATCAATTCAAGAGGGGATGTGGGGTGTGAGATGTGTGTGTGGGGTGGGGTGGGGTGACAACCATTATTGGCATGAGTATAGAAATCGCTAGGAAATAAATTCCTCTTAACGTGCTAACAAACTCTTAACGTACTGACAAACTCCTTCTGACGGAAGTTTTCTATATCCCTTGAGATTTTATTAAACTATTTGTTTATGAGCCATGACTCCGCTTTCATTAACAGTGACCTTGAACTTCAGTGAATCATGTGAATGTTCCGGTGTCTATACAGTTTTCTCCATGCTCAAAGTCATTCTCATATAATTCAGACACTAAAAGTCATCTTTATAGTTTCAATAATTAAAGGACGGAATATATTACACGAAGATGACAGACGTGGGTTGTGAAAAAATCTTGGCAAACATTAAAACGTAAATGCCTTAAATATTGTCGATGAGAAACGGATCTCAACCCGCAGACAAAATGTCATCCACAGCAATAGTAAATAATAAGGGACGTAGGCGGATCCAGAGGGGGGTGGGGTGCGCCCCCCTCCCCACCCTTTCCTTAAAGGAGAATACTAGACAATTGCAATAATTTTCTGGGTGAAAGATAAAGTCATCAGAAACCCCATGTACCCCAATGTTTAATTCAAAAATATGGTTTATTATGTTTTTATCGCGAAAACAGTTTCTGTTATCTGAGCTTCGGCCATCATGCATATTCCGCTGGAACTCACGTGACCTTTCCGCTCGTGACGTCATATGTGACAAGCGTCCGCCATATTGCCAAAGAACAAGCGCTACGTGTTGTTTAAGCTGTCGTTTTTGTAAATGGTACGATGGTGTATTCCGTTGCCTGGGGATGCACGGAATCATCGAGCAATGGAAAGAGCCACCATTTCTTCCGTTTTCCAAGTAAAGAGACAGATTTAGGCACGATAAATGCTCCGATCATTCCGAGTTGGATGCATATGGAAGAGACATGCACACATGGGGTATAAAAATCCCAAAGCTAAGCTGAAGAAGGAAGAAGTACCCACGAGATTCATTTATACTCCATCATTCCCTGTTACAACTTACTGTCAGTGGTATAAATTAGACATAAGTCCGATTGCCAGTCGAATTGCATCCGCTACAAATTGCCCAAGCAAATTTAGTCAAATTGCCCCGAGGTTTTGGTCAAATTGCCCCAGGGGTAGTCAAAATGCCCCAGTTTATTTAAAATGATTAAATATAGGCCATATATGCATAGTTTTGTCATATGTTCTTCATATATACGTATATACATAGTTATGAGTTTACTAATGGAACATTTTTCAGAAATATTACTTCCTAATAACTTTTATAGAAGAACATAATATCAAAGTTGACAAAAACTATGCATTTACGGCATATATTTAATCATTTTAAATACATTTGACCAAATTAGAATGAATGACCAAATTTGCTGGGGCATTTTGTAGCTGGGGCAGTTCGACTGGTACCCATGAGATATATAAATTTATTATCAAAATCAGTAAGAGATTTCACATGAGCTTGAAAATGTTTCGCTATAACGTTCTTTTCGGTTTTGAGCCCTAAATCCCGCAGTCTACCCGAAACATTGCCGAATACCACAGCAAATCACGAAGTACTAGTTGCTTTCATTGTTTTCCATTTTGTCCAATTACGCACGTCGGCATCAGACTCGCTATATATTTTTGTCAGTAGTGTGTGCCGTGAAAGTTGTTCTGTATTCTCATTGGCTGATTGTCATTCTAAATGGCTGATAAGCACCATAACTATTTCCATAACCTAAAACTAGGGAAAAATACATTGTCCTGACTAGTATTTTATAATTCACCAGTTTTGGGGAATGACTTACGTGCGTCGCGAATATTATCTCTGCTCGACCAGGCTGGGATCTGGTATGGAGACTTGGTACGTTATGAATGAGAACTAGGATCCTAATTTTTTTTCAACAAAATAATTCCAGTGTAATTTTTGCAGCAGATAATTTCTATTTTCCCCTGTCTGAAGCATAATTATTTTGTTTTTATA